TTTCTTGACTGAAAAAAATTTGAAACTTATAGTCTACATGCAGCATGTGCCAAAGCCAAAAGTAAATTATCGTATAGCTGGAAATATTTGCTGGGATTTAGTTTTGCTGTTTGCTGTTCATCATAAAAACGCACAATTTAATTCCACAAAGCATTATAGGTAATGGGTGCATCAACAATACATGCCTACACCAGCAAAATTAAATTCCACATACATTAAAATTTACTACATTAGTACAAAATTGCAAAATAATTCCTGCAAACTTTTCCAGCTATACGGCAATTATCACACAAAGTTCTTTTTGAGGATTTGCAAAGTTGTTTTTGCTTATATAATTTTCCCATAATTCTCAAAATTGAATAAAATATTGACAGTTGGTAATTTTAGATGAGGAAATTTTGGTAAATCTCCTAAGTTTTGGTGATTGGTAGGTCAAATGTATTCCAATTTTTTCCTCTTTTTGCTAAGGTATTTACTTAAATGAAATATATTTAAATATATTTGGCTATAAATTGTATTGACAGAAATTTTCCAATACCGCTCTGCTCTAATCTATTCATGCCAATATCAGTAATAGCCAAGCTATAATTAATTGATTCACAATCAACATGCCAAATTTGGGTCCAAGACTATGGAATACATAAACTTACTATTGCTAGTACCTTGACGTTCAATGGTAATAGTACTTTTATAAACTATTATGCTCACAATAGTTAAAAGTACAATAAATGTCAATGCAACCAAGACACTCCAATAACTCCATTTTTTACCTACAATAATTTAAACATTAAAAAAACAATCACATTTAGCACTCAATGTCAGTTATTATACAATCATTTTACTCACAGCATACCATAATCAGATCCATCTAATTTTTCAACAGCATTAGCAGAAGGAAATATGTTAAGTAAATTTAATACTTTTTGAAGGTAAGTCATATCTATATACACAATAAAAATGTATTGTATATAAATATACACAAGAGTAACATTACAAAATGGAATTTATAATGTATAGTAGCCATGGTCTTAAAGAGGAAAAGCAAAAAAGAAAAAGAATGAAATTACATGTACCTGAACTTTCAGTTGCATTAGGAAACCAAATCCAATACTTGTGGCTCGTGACAATAGGTGGCTCTGGGCACAAAGGGCATTCAACTTTCTGATTAGCTACATTTGTGACAATACAATAGGAGTTTTCTATAGAAGAGCAGGAAAAGGCAAGCTTATGACTAGATTTTATGTTAATGGAAACACTACTTCTATTAACTGCTTCAGCTACTGCATTACGAATAAGTGGGCAGTATTTGAAAGCATCATGTCCTACAAAATAAATCGCAATGTGTCGGTGTTTTTTAATGAAGTGAAGGGTGCCAATGTGTTCATTGTGAACATAAATAGGAAATGACATAGCATCTTGATATCTGAAAAAGTCTTTAGAATTAAGAGGAGGGAAACGAAACTGTAGTTGCTTATTAGTCTTCATTAAATTCACAACTGCTAAAGAAAAAATTCCACGAGGAACAGGTAAAATTTCTTCAGGGACAGCCGGGTTTTGCCAGATTATAAGTATTGGATTAATATCTGATTCTGGAGGTGGATCAGTATAAGAAGGTAGTGCAGAGGGAAGAAAATAGCCATTTTGTGTCTCAACAATGATGTTTAGGTGAAGCAAAAGCTTAATAAAATCAAATTTGAAAAACCCATGTTCAACTTTTAACTTATCAAGCAGTGATTTTGCAAATAATCCTTTACTCCTTAGATCATCTAGTTCAGAATCTAATGGTTCTGCCCTAGTAAAAAGGGGCAAGAACCTTCTATCAATTTTGCAAGTAAGAGCTAATAGGCGTGACAGAGTATCAAGAATAGGATGAGGATCAACAAACACTATGTTTGGTAAAACTTGAGGATAATACAATATAATGGTAAAATTGTGAAGATACTGTAGAGCCTTCTTTGTGTCATCTTCATTCATTTGAAGGCTCCTACCAATAGATAAGACATCATCCATCTCAAGAATACCAATATTTCCTGCTTTTTCTAGCAAAGTCAGCTCAAAAGCAAACCATCGAACTGGCAACTCGAGCTTATCGTGAGAAGAAGTGTCAGAAAAATCATTAAAACTAAATATTGTATCAGAAAGTTTTTTAGATTCTTCTTGCCGTTCAGGACTAGATTTGAGCATTGTATTGACTGGGTATATGATTTCACCAAGTTTTGCTGGAATGATGCGATAGCCTTTTTTATTGGATCCCATGGTTAATGATAATAGCTCTTTATTATATTCTTCAATTCGTTGCTTTGTTGTTTTATCCTTGTGTGTACCCAGAACAAAGTATTCTGGGTGCTGAAGAGCATCTTGTTCTGATTGTGGCATGTTGTAAGGATATAAAATCACTCCAGAGGACAGAGTGTCCTTTAAAAATTCAATATTGGTATATGAAAAATTTTTATCACAAGAAAACTGCTCTTCTTTTATTCGGTACTTCAGATCAAGTTTCTGATCAGGATTTTTAGAAAGGTCTATTGCGACAATGTTAAGAGAAGCAGGTCTAGTAAACAAAGGCAATAACTCTTGAAATGCTTTCTGGCCACCAGAGTCAACAATGTACACCAGATGACGATCTAATTTAGCTTTTGCTTTTGGAATGGCCTCAACAATATCTTTGCATATTTTATTTAAATAAGCATCATCTGCTACATCTCGTGATTTAGTTGATTTAGGGCTCTGATCAGTAGCAATTTTTGAAGATTCCTCTTTTGAACTAGTGTTATGCTTTTCAATTGGTGTTTGTTCTTGCTTTGATGCAGCTTCCTTTAAATCATATGCCAATTTTGAAAGAAGGGCTGCAGCATCAACTCTTTTCATATGACCATTGTCCACTGATATTCTTGAAGCTTTCACAGCGCGGCAAGCTATTGGTGTACTGTCAGTGACAGTTTCTTTGGGTGGGTCTTCATTCAGTAAGAGACGCTGAGAACATGTTTTACCAGAGCCAGGAGGGCCAAGCATTTGAACACGTTTGATA